TCATAAAAGAGCCAAGGTTGCCTACCCCTGGTCTAGGCTATGTTGTACCTTCTGGGTATCAAGACCTTTGGTGGCACAGTGGTTAGAATGCAGGCAAACTCTGCCCACAGCCTGGAGTTTGATCCTGATGGGGCTCAAGGTTGACTCAGCCTTCCATCTTTCCGAGGTTGGTAAAATGAGGACCCAGATTGTTGGGGGCAAGAGGCTGACTCTGTAAACCGCTTAGAGAGGGCTGTGAAGCAGCATGAAGAAATATATAACTAAGCACTATTGCTATATTTTAATGCACCACTTCCTTAAACTAGCTTCACAGAGCTAGCCTGTTGTTAAGGAATCTGGAATCTGTACATCTGGAAGGTGCCATGGTTGAGAAAAAGCTTCTAATCCCTTCCATGTGGACTGTCAAGTGGTACTTTTTCCTCCTTACCATCTCAGTTGATTATGGGTGAAATCTTGCTGTGACCTTGGTCTTAAACTGGGCAGAGGGAAAAGAAAGGATCCAGAAATAAATTTGTTGTCTTTTTTTCTTGTTGATACTACAGGATTATCTCTGGAATGTGAAGAATGCATAGGAATAGAGCATTGTTTTGGGAATAAGTTGCCATGTGGTTTGGGGAAAGATAAATGCAGTGTTACTAATATGGCCCTCCCAATAGGTAAGTACAAGATATGTTAATTTTATTTATTTATTATTTTTCCTTTATTACTTTAAAAATAACTCGGGGCAGCGAAAAATACCTAGTATTCTTTCTGACTCCTATTTCTTCACAAAAACCACACTGTGAAGTGTGTTGGGCTGGGAGAGAATGATTGCCCCAAAGTCACTCAGTTGGCTTTCATGCCTAAGGCGGGACTAGAACTCACCATCTCCTGGTGATTGGCCCAAAGTCACCCAGTCAGCTTTGATGGCTAAAGCAGGATTAGAACTCACTTTCTCCTGGAGATTGGCCCAAAGTCACCCAGCTGGCTTTCATGGCTAAGGTGGGATTAGAACTCATGGCCTCCCAGCTAAGGCGTGGCACCTTAACCCCTAAATCATCTGCAGTATACATCAAAAATGAGGATCCCAAGAAATGGGCAAGGCCAGGACACATTTTTTCCTTTATCCTGACTGTTACTCACATTACATCAATTAAAAATACTTTGTATTTATTATTATTATTATTATTATTATTATTATTATTATTATTATTATTATTATTGTTGTTGTTGTTGTTGTTGTTGTTGTTGTTGTTGTTATTATTATTATTATTATTATTATTATTATACTTTAGACGTTTTAGTTCCTAAGCTATACTTTGTTCTCTAAAGTGCTCTGTCTTCCTTCTTCCTTCTTAATAATAATAATAATAATAATAATAATAATAATAATAATAATAATAATAATAATGTTGGACGGAACCTTGGAGGTCATCTAGTCCAACCCCCTGATCAGGCAGTAAAAACCCTATACCATTTTGGACAAATGGCTGTCCAGTTTCTTCTTAAAAACTTCCAGTGTTGGACCATTCACCGCTTCTGGAGGCAGATTGTTCCACTGGTTAATTGTTCTAACTGTCAGGAATTTCTCCTTAGTTCTAGGTTGCTTCTCTCCTTGGTCAGTTTCCATCCATTGCTTCTTGTCCTGCCTTCAGGTGCCTTGGAGAATAGCTTGTCTCCCTCCCTTTTTCCAAGGCCTTCCTCTACTTCAGGGGTCTTTAAACTTGGCAAGTTTAAGACCTGTGGACTTCAACTCCCAGAATTCCTCAGCTAGCTGGCTGGCTGGCTGGCTGAGGAATTCTGGAAGTTGAAGTCCACAAGTCTTAAACTTGCCAAGTTTGAAGACCCCTGTCTACTTACTCACTTTGGATTGAATTCTGAAGGGAGAAATCTCTGGTGGAAGGACTAAGTGCTCCTCACTGGAGGAAACCCCACTGGATTCATCCAACACATTGGTTGGCTTTTGACAATGGGAAAGAGTACCAACTAAGTTGCTTCTGACCTCAAACGTGCTTCCCACTGACTCTGCAATGCCCATCATGGTTTGTTGTGGTGCTAATGCAGTTTCTCTCTTTTCATTTCCCCCAGGACTATCCGTGACTATAAAATCCTGCGTCTCATCTGACGTCTGTGACAAAGGTGTTCAAGTCATTAATCTGGGACAGAGAAAACATGTTGTTGCCCACTTGAGATGCTGTGAAGGAGATGGGTGTAGTGACGTCCCTCCAAGTATACCAGGTATGTCTTCTCACTCAGATTTCCCTGTCTTGTTCTCCACTTTGGATGTGTTGAGACAGTAACTCATATCATGACTGGGTAGGAAGGTTGGTGGAAATCTTAAGTGAGAGGCAGACACCTTGCATTCCAGAATAGCAGAATAGCAGAATAACAGAATTGGGAGGAACCTTGGAGGTCTTCTAGTCTAACCCCCTGCTCAGGCGGGAAGCCCTATACAATTTCAGACAAATGATTGTCCAATCTCTCCTTAAAAACTTCCAGTGTTGGAACATTCACAACTTCTGGAGGCAAATCGTTCCATTGGTTAATTGTTTTAACTGTCAGGAAATTTCTCCTTCGTTCTAGGTTGCTTCTCTTCTTGATTAGTTTCCATCCGTTGCTTCTTGTCCTGCCTTCAGGGTGCTTTGGAGAATAGCTTGACTCCCTCTTCTTTGTGGCAGCCCCTGAGATATTGGAACGCTGCTATCATGTCACCCCTCATCCTTCTCTTCATTAGACTAGACATACCCAATTCCAGCAACCGTTCCTTATATGTTTTAGCCTCCAGTCCACTAATCCAGGGCTTTTCAACCAGTGGTACAGGTACCACCTGTGGTACATTGGCACCTGGCAGGTGGTACGCGACCATCCTAGAAAAGTGGTCGCGGGGGACGGGAATGAGCTGAACCGGTGGCAGCACCGCACAAGCCTGAGCGAGAGATGGCTGGAGCTGCAGGGCTGTCAGGGCTCAGCGGAAGCACCAGGATCAGCGCCAGGCTCCAGCTGAAGCTCGGCGCTGATCCTGGCGCTTTTGCTGAGCCCAGAAGAAGCGCCGATCAGCTGGAATGTTGCAGCCTCTCCAGGGTCTTGTGATTTACATTCAGATGCTTGGCAACCGATTCATATTTATGACGGTCACAGTGTCCCAGGGTCATGTGAAGTGACCAAAACCTGCTGCAACCACCCAGCAGACAGGGGGAATAAAAACCAAACACCCCCCACCCCACCTCCGCTGCCAATCCTCAACAGAAATGCTCACAACAATGAAAACCTCGGACAGGAGGAAGAGTGCCGCTGGGTAGGTAGGCAGGTGTCTTGCTTGGCTGTGGCTTGGGGGGAACTTTTTTCAGTGCCATTGTAACTTCGAACAGTCACTAAGCAAACTGTTGTAAGTTGAGGACTACCTGTACTTTTATCACTTTTTTCCTTTCTTTTTTGGGTCATCAAGTTTTTGACACCTTGCTAGGCGACTGGTGGTACTTGGATGTTGCCATATCCTAAAAGTGGTACAATGGGTGAAAAGGTTGAAAAGCCCTGCCCTAATCATCTTTGTTGCCAAGATTGGAGACCCCTGCCCTAAAGTCCTTTTCATTGGGAATATATTTGTTTCTCATCTCATCTGATTGTTCTTTCTTTTCTATAGAATTGCCCGAGACGGCCGCAGCAAATGGGAAGCGGTGCCCAGCATGCTTTGCAATTCATGGAACGTGTGATGAAAAAGAAATTGATTGCAGTGGAGATGAGCTGTATTGTGCTGGAGGACTAATAGGTAATTAGCTACTTAGGTCAACCTTTCTCAAATTACATTAACCTGATTTTGGATGACAACGTCTATCGATCAAAAGGGACGGAGCTTAGCTCAAGATTTTCAAGGAAGTCTCCATGAGGAAGTCTGTCTTAGAGGCCTCCAGGTTGGGTTCATACATTGGGCAAAGCCATGGTTGGTTGGTTGGTTGGTTCTGGGGTGGCTTTTTGGAACTTTCAAGTCAGTCTTTTTGTGGACTGCATAAAAGTGGCATGTTATAAGCTATATTTCCCCCAAACTGTAGGAGTAATAATGAAATTCCTGCCTCCCTCCCTGGATTTTGACAACAATATCTCCACATTCTCCTCCAGCCTTCTTGAGAACATCCAGCATAATTCTTTCTAGGTTTCTATCCTACTTACTTGAATCTAATTTCTTCATTATCTCTGTTTCACTGCGATAATTGCAGACAAAAATACCTTCCTAGTATTTCACACCACAACTGCCATACTTTTTCAACCCGAAGGGCTAAAGTTGGGGAATTATGGGCATTGCAGCCCAACCTATCAGAAGCATCTCAGGTTGGTTGGCTCTGCCATGAAAAGTACTGGGGAAAAAGGAATGGGTTTCAGTTCAACCTGTTCCACTGATCAATTGTTCTTACTATAAGGAGAAATGTCCTGACAGTGAGATGAGAACAATTAATGAGTGGAATGACTTGCCTTCAGAAGTTGTGAGTGCTCCATCACTGGAGGTTTTTAAGAGAGGATGGACAGCCAATTGTCCGGAATGATACAGGGTCTCCTGCTTGAGCAGGAAGTTGGACTAGAAGACCGTCAAGGTTCTTTCCAACTCTGTTATACTGCAATACTGTAATTGATCCAATCTTGGCACTCATCCCTTTCATTTTCTCCACAGTTTCATCTGATCTGGAGGTCGGTTTGAAAGGATGTGCAAACAAAGCTCTCTGTGATAGTTTGGTTGCATATGAAGCCATGGCTCCTGAGAACAGTGGACATCACGCTATCCAATGCACATCAAACTCTTCAATTCACCAGGAGGAGTTCTCAAACTTGACTAGAATTCAAATGTCCTCTGGGGTGGTTAATACCAATCCCAGTTGGTTTGGACTCTTCATCACAATTTTTTCTGGCTTGATTTTTTTCCAAGTGTAAAGATGTCATTGTTAGGAGAAAAGCCAAGCTGGTCTATGGTATTTCAAAATCTGGAATCTGGTGACACTTTTTCAGCGAAGAAAGTTTATTAAAAGCAATAGTTTTTGTGAGCTGTAGCTTACATCCAATGTATGCTTCATTAGATGCTTTAAATCATCAGATCACCTAAAGATTCAGTGATCCAGCTTGCTTCCAGCTTCTGTATCTTCTACAATCATAGATATTTCAAAGGAAAATCAGGCAAAGTTCATTACTCAGAGGCTCAGAGCACTTGACTTAGTGTTTTTGATGTCCATTAGTGTCCTCTAACAACAGAGGGAGAGGCCAATAAGCTGTAATGCTGTCACAAAGTCTTATGGTGAGAATTAATGTTCAATTGTGGTTCTCATTCTCTATATCAGATGGGTGGACAGTCTTCCCTTCCCTTCAGCACCAGCCAAAACAGTTTTTCTTCTTCTTGGCTCTAGAAACAAACTCAAAAGTTGCGATTAGTAGCATTGATTAGGAAGAAAGAGGATAGTTATCACCCAAGAACTCCAGCAAGGGTTTGACTTTCATGTAAAGCTTCTTTATAACAATTTATTCCAGTGCCAGCATCGTTTCCCATTTTTTAGGGTCTTCTGATGGAAAGGAAGGGAAACAGTGTTAAAAGCTTCATTTTTCCAGAAAAACGTACCTGCTTATAATTTTGAGAACCGTCAGCCCCCCTATGGGTCTAACCTCATGCCTATCAGATGTTGGAACGGATGAGAACTGCAGTTTACCAATCACTGGAGAACATGATTCTGATGTGTTCTGGCAGCACTAGATAAAAGCTAAGCCTTAGGTCAGTGGTGGCGAACCTATGGCACGCGTGCCAGAGGTGGCACTCAGAGCACGTGCACCGTGCCCGGGAGATGGCAACCATCCCTCTTCAACCAGCCGCCCGTTAACTCGCTGAGGTCCCACGTGGTCGGATCCATCCCAGCATGGTTGGTTTTCCTCCCCCCCGTCCCATCCCTTGCATACTCTTCTTTTCCCAGGCACGACCCATTGCATCACCTCTTCAGCTGTTGGCCGTCCGTCCAGCTCAGAGGCAGCTTCTCTGAACTGCTGGCGGCGGGCTGCGTAACCCCAGAGTGCGCCGGTCGAGGGGCTGGCAGGCTGGCAGGCCTCTGTGTGCGGGGGCCAATGGTGTTAGGAAGAAGCCGCCCTGGCCCCTGCCTCGCCCTGCGACAATGGCACCCCCGTCCTGCCTTGCCTCACCCTGCAGGACGAGCCTCCTGCCCACCGCCCCACCTGCCAGAGACTCCCTGGATCTCCCCCAACCCTGCCCGGCCCCCAAAGGCGTCCCTCCCCACGAACAACATCGAGGTGACCATGCCCAACTTGGCCACACCCACCCAGTCTGCCATGACCACCACAGCCACGCCCAGCCAGTGGGCCACGCCCACCTGGCACCCAGTGATAAATAAGTGGGTTTTGGGTTGCAGTTTGGGCACTCAGTCTCTAAAAGGTTCGCCATCACTGCCTTAGGTGGAGTTGGTAGGATCAGGAGGAACAGAGCGATCCACTTCAGTCGATTCCAATTTTCACTTATTCTGTCACATTCCTATCCATCTGCTTGTAATTTTTAAAAAACAACAACACACACACACACAAAAAAGCTTTGCATTTTCATACATGTTTTTTGGCTGTTGATTTCAACCAGTCAGTTCCTGAGAGAAAAAGCTGGGTTAATCAAACAAATTACAGACAACAGATAGATTATTGTAAATGATCTTGCCAGATCTATGCCGGATCTGTTACCAAAGTGACAAGGGGAAAATATAACTTAAGTCCAAAACAAGCAGAAAACATGCATAAAAGACTCAGAGAGACACCTCCCTAATTTGGATGGGTATAAAAAGGGGAGGGGACATAATACAATTGTATTTGCCAGACTCTGGTGCTATAGCCCTCTTTCTCTTTTTAATTTTTTTAATTAGAACCTATTGTAGTATAAAATAATGAAGGAAATAAAGATGGAAATCATGATCAGAAAGGAAAGGGGAAGGAAGGTAGAAAGAAGGAAAAAAGGAATGACTTCCAATTCTTTTTAGTGCAGTAAAATACGAAATGCAGTTGTCATCTCAACTTTTTGCTTTAGATTTCTTCTAGATGCAAGCCATCAACAACATTAGTCTTCGAAACCTAAAGTCAAAGTTCTATTTTTTTCCCCATTTTGAGCATAAAGTCCAGAAGCGGTTTCCAGGTGGAAACAACTGGGTAAGTTCTTCTCTTTCATTAAAACATTCATTTTTTCTACCCATTTTTCCTTGTGGGGATTGATGTATGTATTGTAGCCATTTTCAATAAAAGTGGTCAGTCTTCCTGTAGAGATGCTCCTTTGTCTGGTCTACTTGGTTGGGACTGAGAATTATTGTCATTTTTCTTACATAATAATTTGAGCAGAAGGAGGAATCCATTTCTGAAGGGGGGGAAACTATTATTCTCAGATAAGTTGCTTGGTGATTGCATCTTCACAGGCTACTGAGGGACCTAATTCTTCTCTTCAGCCCTTTATTGATGGAGTTTAATTCCATTTGCAAACAGATGTGATGGGGTTGGGGAAGGGAGGGCTCCATTCTGTGGCAGCTGTGTTTGTTTTTATAAAGGAGAAATGGCCTTCGTCTAGCTGCATCACTGTCTCTTGTGCAGTGGTTGCTAAAACTCTTACACATTTTGTAAATAAAATATTATATTATCCCAGATAATACCTTTTTCAATTTGTCTAAAAGACCCTCCTTCTTTTCAAATTCCTGATGATGGAGGGAAGTTTAAGCTGACGCGTGGGTCAGCTAAAGGCACAGACTATTGAAAGAGCTGAGAATCCAGATGTTTGGGCCAGCTAAAGGCACAGACTATTAAAAGAACTGGGAATCCAGATGTTTGGGCCAGCTAAAGACATCGACTATTGAAAGAACTGGGAATCCAGATGTTTGGGTCAGCTAAAGACATCGACTATTAAAAGAACTGGGAATCCAGATGTTTGGGTCAGCTAAAGACATAGATTATTAAAAGAACTGGGAATCCAGCACCATCTCTCCTTGCATAGCCAATGCTGAAGATGTCAGAAACTGTAATTCAGTAACACCAGAACACCAGATGTTCAAATTGTTGAACAATTTACTTACAAAACCACAACTAACCAAACCACGGCATAGTATATTATACGTCTTATTCATTTACTGTAGTTATCTCTCATACACACAGGCAAATTCCAGTTGATTTCTTCTAGCAAAGGCTATTTTTCACCCATATGAAATCAGCACACACACACACACACACACACACACACACACACACGTAGTTCTAGGAATATCTCAGGAGACGGGAGATTTTGTTCCACTGGAGTTGAGCACGTGCACTTTCAAGGAACAAGAGCATCCTTAAATCAGGAAAGACCTGTGAAGTGAATTTCACAGCTGTCATATATATTTTCTCTCATACCCAGCAGTTTATATTGCAACTTAATGTTCAAAAGCATTTTGAGGTCAGTTAGCAGACAGGAAACATCTGTTTTCCTCAAAGTCCGGCCTGCAGGCTGGGTTGCAGGCCTTGGAAATTTCTCTCCAGTCTCTCTGACTCCAATGCATAGATTTATCATTTTCACAAATCGCTTAGCACTCAAATCAAAGGGCCTGAGCACGAGCCAGCTTTAATGCACACAGGGCAAATACCGATGCTAGGTCTTGAAGGACCGGACCAAGTTTGCTATTTGAACACGTCATATCTTGTAGTGGGAAGAAGGAACAGGAGGATGAACCCTGATCAAGACAACAATCATATAAAAGAAATTTGAATCCAGGACAGTGCTGTAATTTAAGTCTCACAGACCCTTCCTAGTTTTTGCAAAGATAAAGGGAGGGAGGAGGGAGTGTCTTTAGACTTGCAGGATGGATGTCAACCCATCAAGATAGACCAGACTTGGATATCAAAGTTGTTGTTGTTGTTAGTTGCCAAAGTCGTGTCCGACCCATTGTGACCCCATGGACAACGTTCCTCCAGGCCTTCCTGTCCTCTACCATCTTCTGGAGTCCATTTAAGCTCACGCCTCCTGCTTCAGTGACTCCATCCAGCCACCTCCTTCTCTGTCATCCCCTTCTTCTCTTGCCCTCAATCTTTCCCAGCATCAGGCTCTTCTCCAGTGAGTCCTTCCTTCCCATTAGGTGGCCGAAGTATTTGAGTTTCAACTTCAGGATCTGGCCTTCTAAAGAGCAGTTGGGGTTGATTTCCTCTAGGACTGACCGGTTTGATATCAAAGTTACAAAGGCTAATATTACTTTTATTATGAGGTTAGAGCAGGGCTTTTCACCCTTTTCACCCATTGTACCACTTTTAGGATATGGCAACATCTGAGTACCACCAGTCACCTAGCAAGGTGTCAAAAACTTGATGACCAAAAAAAAAAAAAAAGGAAAAAAGTGATGAAGTACAGGTAGTTCTTGACTTACAACAGTTCGCTTAGTGACTGTTCGAAGTTACAATGGCACTGAAAAAAGTGCCCCCTAAGCCACAGCTGAGCAAGACACCTGCCTGTCCACCCGGCAGTGCTCTTCCTCCTGTCTGAGGTTTTCATTGTTGTGAGGATTGGCAGCAGAGGTGGGGTGGGGGGGGTGTTTGGTTTTTATTCCCCCTGTCTGCTGGGTGGTTGCAGCAGGTTTTGGTCACTTCACATGACCCTGGGACACTGTGACCGTCATAAATATGAATCAATTGCCAAGCATCTGAACGTAAATCACAAGACCCTGGAGAGGCTGCAACATTCCAGCTGATCGGCGCTTCTTCTGGGCTCAGCAGAAGCGCCAGGATCAGCGCCGAGCTCCAGCTGGAACCTGGCGCTGATCCTGGCGCTTCCACTGAGCCCCGACAGCCCTGCAGCTCCAGCCATCTCTCGCTCAGGCTTGTGCGGTGCTGCCACCGGTTCAGCTCATTCCCCTCCCCCGCGACCACTTTTCTAGGATGTTCGCGTACCACCTGCCAGGTGCCAATGTACCACAGGTGGTACCCGTACCACTGGTTGAAAAGTCCTGGTTTAGAGTAACAGAATCTTGCCAGTCTGAAAGTCCTTTTCCCCCCCTACCCTTCACCTTTC